GGTCTCAGTCGTGAATGTAAACTTGTCCCACTGATGTGAAATAACGTTGTATTAACCTCTGATAAAAGTTCATGACATCAGTGTACAACTATAGAACTGGTACAGCCCATGCAGCTCATTATTTTTAATTAGCCCCACCTTTTCAGTGTGTTGCTGCCGGAAAATTTATGATACCACAGCTCTGTGTCTCTTACTGCAGAATACTCAGCCCTGAAGGCAGTTGCACACCTTTTGTGACTGTTTCTCACATCACATTGTATAAGTCTGCTGCCAAGACACAAAGTTCACTTTCCATTTATACTCCTGCAGGACTGGAAGCTTCATGTCTGGCTGCTAATTAACTGTATTAATTTATCTTGAGATAATGAACAGTGCATGATTCATAACACTGTTTTGCATTGTTTTTCCTGTAATACAGGTTGTGTTACATAGATTAAACCATCATGTATACATGCCATATATATATATTTATATTTGACAGTTCACAGAAGTCATGTTATAATTTAATTTTCTGAAAGGACCCAGTAAAGGTGTAAACTCAAGGTAACAGAATGCTTTTTTCTTTAGTTTATCATCATGTGTCCAAATGCCAAGCACAGTCATGGCCTTATTTTGAGTCAGTTTAAGCTAAACCAGTTGAGACACTTGACTTTGTCGTCTCATACAGGTTTTGACTGTCTTCATGTTTTTATACTCAAAGAAAGTATTTTACTTGACAGCTGAGGCTGCCTGCACAATCACAGCTACATGGTTTTACTTTTTGTCCTCCTGTCGAGATTCATATCATTCAATATTCATGACCACGCTTGTTTATTCCAGCCTGCAATAGGTACTGTATAATGGAGACAACTTTTAAATAGATTGGAATAGAATGAGTTTCGAGACAAAAACAGGCGTGTTTCTGACAAAAACAGAGACATTATTTCAATTTCAAATGGGACGACAGTTCTGGCAACGCACAAACTTCCTTCAGTAGGTGCCTTTTAGTTAAAGCTGTTTCAGCTTCAAAGACTTCAGCTGTGGCTTTGAGCAAACAGTGAATGTTGCATTGTTTTTTTTTCTTGCTATCATTTTTTTCCCACCACTTTGAAATGCCGAAGTATTTACAATTCATAGATGAAATACAGCTGATTGTAACCTGATGCCCATGCTGTGTATATGAGGGGAAAATGTCAGCAGCTTAAAAAAAGAGTCTGCTAATTCAATGTTATGTAAACTTAGCTGCTGTAGAATATTCACCTTAAGCTTGAACATAATCAACCACACCAGCAGATCCCAAATATTATTTTATCAGCACCGCTTCTTCTTATCAGCATTGATCCGTGCAGTGTTTTTTCCATAACTCTGTGCTCAGTTTGCCATTTCTTTACTTGTTTGCAAAGTGGTCATGACACACTGTTAATTATTGTTGGGAAAACAAGTGTTCTTCTCCAGATGGAGGCTCATATGCTGAGAGCAGTGACTCAATATATTCTCACCAACTTGAGGTGGACAAAGTGGACGGGCTGGTCTGACAGAAGGGCAGCAGTAGCTCTGCTCACTAAATCCATAACACTGCAAAAGCATTAAATGTCCCTTTAGGTGGCGAGGGTTACTCCTGGTACACACAACAGCTGTTACAAGACAGAGTGTTGTCTTTGGCTTTACAACAGTCAGCCCCCTCTTCAGAGCTACAAAGAATAAACCTCTAACATAACAAAAGTGTTGCGTCATAACCTTCAAAATGGTAGTAAATGAAACCAATGCCTATAGGTGCCAAAAACTGCAGTTCCTGTAATGGCCGCTTTGAGAATGAATTCAAAATTGAGTCAATCCCCAAAGACTTCCATATTAACATGTCCAGCTTTACTGCAGAAATAAACATGTTTACAGCCTGGTACAAAAACAGTTTTGGTCTCTATAGCTTAGAGGTGTAGACTTGAGCCACATGACTAACTCAAGTCAGACTGAAGTAAAAAAGACCTGAGGCTCAGTGTGACAAAATTAAAAAAGACTTGCAACCCAACTTGGACTTAACACCAACGAGTTGTGACTTCACCTGGAATTGAGCCTTTTGACTTGAAAATACTTGATTCCTACCTCCAAACCCCAAAATTATACAGTATGTTATTTAAAACTCGCGCCACAAATCATTTAATTTCCATTCAAATTCCTAGCAAGTCAGAACTTATTTCCACAAATCATTTTTGTTTGAACCAATCCCACAGCATCCAACCAAGTTGCAGGAGAGAACCATGAAGAACTAATGTTTTGTTACTGAGCACCAGTTTGAAAAAATGATACCAACAATGTTTCAGGTCATTCACATACAAAAACAACACAGTAGTCTGCAAAAAACGCAGTGCAGTATGCATAACATGTGGGTCAAAACTTTTAGTTCGACACCGAACAACTTCCAACTTTGTTTGACATTTGAAGGTATGTAAAAAAAAAAAAAAAAAAGTAAGTCATTGCTAATAAAGCTTAACTTAGCAAGCTAATCCTTAGCTAACATTAGCTCAACAGCTACTTAACGTTTAACAAAGCTGTTTTACCAAATGAATACACGTTTTAAAAGGCAGTCATGATTTTTGTAAATTTGTTATTACTCTGTTGTTAAAATGGCATTACATTTGGCAAACAGTGCATTATGACTTGTCTAGGACTCAAAACTCAAGATTTGGGACTCAGGACTCAACATGATACTTGTCAGTCTTGACTCGGGACTTGAGTGCAAACACGCTTGAGACTTTTTTATGTCTTGACCAAATATGGAACGTGGACTGGTAGGTGCCCTTGGTGCCCTTGAGCAAGGCACCAAACCCCCCAACTGCTCGGGGTGCCTGTCCACGGGCAGCCATGGGCCTGTCCATCCCTCTGTCCTCCAGAGCTCTGTTCCCTTGTCCAAATATGACAACTTCTAGCTCCAGAAAACCAAGATGGCGACAGCCAAAATGCCAAATTTGAGGCTACAAAACAGGAGTCCACAAACCAATCTGTGACTTCATAGTGGCACAGTCCAATATTTTTATAAAGTCTAAAGCAACATGAAGTCATGTATTGTTTAATTCTGATTATTGTGGGACTACAAGGGTTGCTAAGGTCCAAGTTCATCTCAACTTTCCTCCTCTAGTTGTTTTTAGTTCGCCTTCTCAAATCATCTCTGTTCACCTTTGTGCCTGCTACCATTTACATGTTTACATGTGTAGATAGCATTTAACTGTTGTCTGTAAAGTGCTTATTTGCACTGATTGCTAATTAGTGTAGACTGCTCGACTTGGACGCTGTAAACTATGTCCTGTTGTAGTAGTCAGTGTGTTTTGTATGAATCCTAGCTGCAAACCAAATTACTCTGTCAGTCCCTGTCAGTGAAAGACACTTTGAACTTTGAACTTTCCTGTTCCTTGCAGAAATCATGTGCACAATCCTTCTCTACCATGTCACTTATAAATATTCACTTTCTTTTCACTATTTTCATCGTCTTGATGATTTTCTTTGACAGAAACTTGTCAAACGTTGCCAGGGAATTATTTTCTCTTTAGTACTTCAGTAGGCAGACAAAGGTTATGATGGGAAATTGCAAATCAAAGTCTAAAGTTTGATCTGCCTGTTGAAACATGTTTTTAATTACATCCCTTTGGACGAAAATGCAAAGCTTTTTCAGAACTGCTCTTACTGTTTTTAAAAGCATTTAATGGATCTTATATTGTCAAAATTACAGTTGTTGACTAAACTTAGTCCTTGCGTTAGCGTGGGGAATTGTTGACTTTGGAAAAGCTCTTATAACTGCAGAATTACAAATGCGTGGAGGGACTTCAATTCCCCTCGAGCTACCTCTAGACAAATACAAGGGAACTGGCAAAGACCTCCACAAAAACCAACAGACCCCCCACTCACACGCAAACAACAAAGGAAATACAAACAAGTCTTGAAAGCCGCCCAATGGGATGACCAAGGAGAGGTTTGAGCATATAAAAGTGATTCCTAAAATGCACCTGCCAGGTTTCCCCCACAGTGCAAGAAAACAAATGTCGACACATCTGTCGCACCAAGTATCGTACCCAGGAACAAGGAAGTATCACCACATCCTGGTCTCTTTGTTGAGAGTCATATGTAGTTCCTTCACTCGTACTACGTTTCTGGAGGATTAAAGATAAAAGAGTCAATTCCAATGCTGTCATTTGGCAAATGCATGTTTCTAATCAGGAATTAGAGCCTTAATAATAATATGGATGTGATGAGCATTTTCTTCTGGTGCTAAATCTTACAGACTTTCATTTCAAGCATGCAAATCAGGGGCAGATGGAATTAGCCAAGAAGTGTGTGGGGGATGAGAGATGTGTCGCTAGGGGTCGACGCCTTTTGTGGAACATAAGTCCCATTTATCCCAAATTAGGACGGGTGCGGCACTGGTTCGCTTTGATGTTCCTCTTGGCGGGAGCCAGGGTGGAGTGCAGACGGGGGTACGGGGCAGATTGCTGGAGCACAAACAGATGTTCAAGGCTCATCCTTTGAGGTGGTGATGAAACGTTGCCACAGCGAGAGTCTTTACATCCTACTGTCAGTCAGTTGACACAGAGACAAGGGCAGGGCTGCAGTTGCTACTTTAATGGTGCTGCATATGGGCTGTTATAGCAACGGCAGCAGATCAAGCAGTTTGACCCATATCTCTGCGAAGTTGAAAGCTTCAGGCCATCACAATGTCTCTTTATACAAAAACTACCCTGTAAGCATTTGATGGAAAAAGGAAAAAGTCCCCAACAGAATACCAAGGTTTGGTAAAAGAAGCTGAATTTGTTGTAAAGCAATTTCAGGAAGGTGTTTTGGCCCCAATTTAACCAAACAGTGCAGCACACAGCAACTCTTACCCAACAGATGTCTCGCAGCCTCTTCGCTCTACATTTCAACAGGTTTATAATGTGGGACAGGCTGTCATATCAGCATCTCTTCAATGTCAGAGTGTTTGCTGTAAATTTTCCTTACCTGCACACCAACCGGTTGCATTTTGTCTTTCACTGCAGGAATATGACGACGGCTACGGAACAGCTTATGACGACCAAGGATACGAATCATATGACAACAACTACAGTAATCAAGGACAGAAGTAAGTTCTTCTATTATTTCCACATAACCCTACCTATAGTATTTGTCATTTACCAGCCTAGTATGTCTGTGAAGTATCTCCATGTTGGACATTTCTGCAGCATACAGTTCACACCTGAATCCAAGGAGTGCCAGCATGTAGAGAGTGTGAAGTATTGGGATCAGGAGCATAATATTTGACCTGCTACAAATTGTAAGTCGGCTTAGGTGCAGATTTGGCGTGGGGTGCTGGGGATATGTCCCTCTCAATATTTAAACATGGACATTTGTCCCTTTCAAATGAAAACATGACAAGTAGCAGTGGACTTTAATTTTCAAATTCAAATTCGTTGATTCAGAAAAGGCAAAACTTGGGGCATACAATTTACCAGAATTCAGGAAGTTAAGTGTTCGATGCTCAATTTTTTTTTTTTTTTTTTTTAAATATTTTTAGGGCATTTTGCCTTTAATGGACAGGACAGGTAAGTTTGAAGGGGGAGAGAGAGGGGGATGACATGCAGCAAAAACCACAGGCTGGACTCGAACCCAGGCCGCTGCAGCAACAGCCTTGTACATGGGGCGCCTGCTCTACCACTAAGCCACTGACGCCCCACAATGCTCAAAATGTGCTGACAAAGACAGTCCTATGAGTCAGCGACTTACTTTTAAATTTGCACCAGTCAATATTTTTAGATTACTAATTTATTAAATAACTACTGTATGTGTTATTTGAAATGTGTGGCTTAGAGTAAACCCAAAGAGAATGACCACCTGACTCTGCAGTGTCCCTCAGCTACACTGAGCATTTTAGTATCTTTCAGCTAGTCTCGCCACCAGACAATCAGAAATCTCCGCCTTCTGATAGTCTGGGGACACTCCTTTCTAAAGTGCGTTTAACATACCGGAGAAAACGGCCGGTAACAAAGCAACGTCTCTTGCATTTTTTAAAAGGACACGCCCTCCCAGAAATGTGTGCTCCCCCTTTTCTCATCCGCAAGGAAACAAACACACAGAGAGTTTGAAAATGGATGCCGAGAGATTTGACTCCGTTTTATTAAACGTGTGCTCAGTCCACAAGATTGTGGAAATGAAGGACTTACAGCGACTTTGTTTAAAACTTTTAACGCAGTCGGACTATGTTTACGAGCACAAGAGTTCAGCGAGCCACCGAAGGACCGCCCTGCAGATTTACTATTGGTTCTGCAACGTAGGGAGTTTTTTTAAACTCTGAAATTGTATCCGCCCATCTAAACACAAAATCAGGGAGAAAGACATCAGTCTTTAGTTAAGCAAAGCGTCTAAAGAATGACTTGTGAGTCTATCTTTCAGCTGCTTGTTTTGATTTTAACTCCCACAACTTTATCATTTGGATCACCACTTTCAATAACCTCTTTACTCATGGTGGGAGGTGAAGCTTAAAAAGCTCTGATAAACCCACTGGACACGACCTGCCTGACCCCAAACAGCAGACAGACTCAGTTAGTTGCTAGCTAGTGAACACGGTGGACCATTCACCTGCTAAATATAGAGTGAATAATCCACCTAAATGTGCCAGGTGAACACTCCAAATAAATGCTAATGTTGCTTCGGGGCTGCTGGATGTGGACATTTACTGACACATCTGTCACAGCTGTATTAAAAGTGGATAATATGTCAATGTTGTGTACACAGCCTGATCTCATGAAGCTGTCCAATATCAATATTTCAGTCTAGGGGTGTTTTTAGTATCTTGTCCACCCAATTTATTAAGGCTGTAGTGACACAACAATCTGGATCAACATATTGATTCGATGATCAATGATCAGTTAATTACTGATGAGGTCTATCTGACCAAAATGTTGCATTTATAATGATGGGAGCCAATTAGCAGTGTGTGGATTATTTTTCTAAAAAATAAAAAATCTTTAGTTTTTATTTCCAGTTATCATCACACAGGTCTGATATTAGTCTGAGCTGCAGTGATGGAACAAGAGTGTAAAATCAGCCACGGTGTCAACTATCGTTATATAAACCTTGCACAGTTACAGTGCTAAAATCATCATTATGTGGTTATGTCATAAACTTGTTGTTGGAAACTGTTTTAAAACCAGAGTGGAAATAGAAAGCCTGAAGCAATAATATGATCATTCAGGACTTTTGTCCATGACAGGATCCTTTCTTTCTCAGTGATCTGATTGGTTAGTGGTCGGGGTGTTGACAAATTGTGATTAAATCCTTGGTAGTTTAAATTTGCTCCGCAGCAGGTTAGCTGTTCAGCATCAGTTACCATGGTGATTTATCCCATTACCTCAGTAACCCCAAATGCTGCTTCATAGCACAGGGCTCTGTCCACAAAGGTCTCCTCCTGCTCCAAACAGGTCGATGATTAAAACAGGTAAAAACACTGAATAAAGCAGTTTCACGTTAAAAATAAATTTCTCTCTGATGTGCTATGATTGACACAAGGGGAGGGGGACTGTGACCCGAGCTGCCACTTTGTTATCTCAGCTTGTTTCTCTGATAACTGAATACTCAGATGTCCAATTACTAAAATCCTCCATCTGGTTAAAATCTACCAAAATAAAAAAGGTGACGATGACAAGAATGGAAACAGTAAGACAATTGTCAGCTGGAAATGCTTTGGGGTGCTTTCAGACCTCGGGCTCTAGTTTCCCGGCGCAGCGCAGGTGGCGCAGGGTGGCGAACCCCGCGCAGAGCTAGTTTCGAGCAGCGCAACCCGAAGCGCGCTCAGTTTGGTAGTTTGGCAGACCGAGGTGCGCTGAGATGGGTGTGGCGGTGCAGCAGGGGGAGGTATCGACAGATCCAGCTTGGTGCAGTGACACTTTCATTTTTAACCGGACTGAGACCACCTCTTCAAGAAGGTCTTGGTCCGGTTGTTTTAGTGCACACCTGAGTGTGACTGCTGTGTTCACACAGCCCCAAACGAACCGCACGGAGGGGGCAAACAAACTTAAGTTTGATTGGACCGAACCAAACAGAGCAGGTGTGAAAGCACTCTTAATGTACTGCCATCCAACCATCAGCAAGTGCTAAGGGGGAATCCTTTAACAGCCGAGCACCAAGCAGACAATGGTTAGCAGCAAAAACACTGTTTTCTTGTATCGATCAAAGGCCGCTGAATTGAATTGTGTCATTGCAGATCTTAGCAAATATCGTGTTGTTGTTCCAGAATCGATATCATATCACATTGTGATTTGCAACCCTACTATTTATAACAACAACAGTAGGCTAAATATGACTCAATAAAGTTTGACAGCAGCATCTTAAACAGTTTCAACAGCATGAAACTGGGCATTATAACTTTATGAAAGAGAGTTTATTGCACTGTTGCATTAGAGTGCATTGGTTTATAGCTAGGTGTACCTAATAAACTGACAACCTAGTGTACTTGTATGAATAAATAACTCAGAAATTCATTCTGGGTTATCATGTGATTGCACTCTTTAGATTTCATAGCAGGGCAGAAGAGCAACAACAACACCAGGGCTGCAAACAGCTGGAGTGAGTTGAGTGAATAAATAAGTTGAGCTTTACGTCTGCTGTCTCTGCAAGTCTGAAATACAAGTTTATCAGCAGCATCTGAGGGCAGTGATTTTGCCGCAGTATGGCCATTTGGACTAGATTAAATGTTAGAGTATATGAGGTCAAATTGAGATTTTGAAGCCTTCAGAACAGCTGGATTATGGTGCATGAGCTGTTAGGAGTCATTTACGCCCATCTCCTGCCCTGTTTGAAACTCGAAAGAACACTTAGTGTTAATGAAGTATTTTGTGAAGTGTGAAATGTTTTCACTGACCTTCACGTTGTCTTCGAAGATAAAGTCAAAAAAGTGAAATCTGACGTTGAATTCCACTTTAAAAAACAATCTGATTTGAATTTAAAAATAGGATACGCAGGTAATTTAAGTTTTCTGATTTTAGATTTCTCAAAATAAACCAACCTCTGCAGACTCAGTGACGTATCACATTAATTGCAGCTCATTACGTTAAGTGTGTTATCTTTGTTTTAATCATCCTTCAAGACGTCGAGCCAAAGGTGCATTCTGCTGGCAGTGTTTCTCATGCCAATGCAAAACAAACAGTCTTAGTGGTACGTTGCTCCATTTAACAGAGGGTCCTGCACGGCTAAATGCAGAATATTGATTTTCTTATATCCAGGGAGCTATCACACTTTCCAAGCCACACAAGGTCAAAGGCTTTCTCTCGGGTTTGTCGCTGTCCCGCTGCATTTCATCAGCACACAATGCGTTACATTTATGTATGCCTGTTTGTGCAACATGAGAGACAGACCGATTGTTGCCACATTTGCTGTGTCAAAAATTGGATTGTATTGGCAGCAGCTGGAAAAGACGAAAACAGACCGAGGAGGAAAAAAGAGCATTATTCTGTCCTTTGGCTTTGTGAGCAGGGTGGTCGATGTTTTCCTTTGTGGAGGTGTCAGGATGTATGTCACCCAGGCTTCATCCATCTTTTGTGCTATCTCTCGCTCTTTTCTTTTTTTTTTTTTTTTTTTTGGAAGGCCATATCACACACCCACACACGTGCACACACACACTCCTCTCCCTCTCGAACACAGCGAGGGGATGTACCATGAAGTGTAGAGATGCTCGCAAAGGGGAGACGCAGGTCCGCCTCAGGAATCTGCAGCTATTTGTTTTATAAGCAGCATCGTGAATAATGGTGGGGGTGGGGGTGTTTTGGTGAAGGTGGTGGGAAGTGGGGGGGGGGGCCTGGTGGCGCAGAAGAAAAATGGAGTCCATCATGTAAAGGCTGGAGGCTGGGTCGACTCAAAGAGATTTTCATGTCTGTTATCTGGTGGGAAACAAAGCAGCTAATAGGACCCAGACATGGAAGCCTGTGCCCCCAGAGACAGCTGATTCACTTACTTCTCCTCTTATTTCTGCATCCTGTGTCCTGGATTTAGTTGAAAAGTTACTGCAGGCTGACATTGTGCATGTGAAGACGAGCTTTATGCAGCATTTCTGTGATTTGACCGTCCTTGGATTGATTTAATTCTGTCCAT